TCGGGATGGTGGCTGCATCCACCTCATCTTCATTTTGCGTCAGTTGTTGGAGCATCGTCACATATATTGGCGGCCCACCGTTGTCGTGTTCCTCGACATCAAAGGTGCCTTCGTTTCGACTGATCGATGTGCCCTTTGGGTCTGTCTACTCAGGAAAGATGTGCCCGAGAATTATGTAAATCTTACGCGAGCATTATACGCGTGTACCACGAGCAGAGTGTGGGCTTAGGGCAAACTGTCGCTACCCGCAGTATGAGACAAGGATGCCCGTTGTCACCTTTCCTCTTCAACTTCGCTGTTGACGAAGTCATGCAGGTTCCATTTACAGGACACGACTTAGAAGGTGTGCATCTGCTCCCAGGAGAACGACTTCTTGACTTGTAGTTTGCTGACCATATTTCCCTCATCTGTGTCAGTTCTCAGATGTGCCAAGATGCACTGACAGATTAGCACTGGCTGTCAGCCGCTTCGGGCTTTGCTTTGCACTATCGAAGTGCAAAGCTTTCCTCTAAGATTAGCAGGAATCGCCTCCTGCGGTGACCGTTGGTGGGGATCAATTAGAAATCGTTCAAAAATTCAACTACCTGGGAAGTTGGATCAGCGCCCTTGGGATCGAAGATGAGATCACGAACCGTATAGCAAAAGCTCGGGGTGCTTTTACTAACCTTCGCCACTTATGGCGCCGGCACGACATCACTCTTGCCCTGAAGGTTAGAGTATACAATGCAGCGGTACGTTCGACCCTACTCTACAGTTGCGAAACCTGATCCCTTAGCGGACATAAAGAGGCTAGTTATGTTCGACCACCGGTGCCTTCGCAATTTAGCTCAAATCTGGTGGAAACACCGGGTGAGCAGCGAGCGTGTTCGACGCCTTGTTTAGGGCACAGGAAAAGGAAATGAACCGCTCAGCACCGTCATTTCACGCACCAGGCTCCGATGGCTCGGCCACCTATTATGCATGTCAGCTCACCGACTCTTTTGACGTGTGTTGTTTGCTCGCCGGGGGTGTGGATGGAAAAAGAGGAGAGGTGGCCAAGCGATGACTTGGTCGAGAGGAATGAAGGCCCTCGCTTTGGAGCTGGCCTCAGTTGGAGCGTCACGGCTCCCTGGTTGGGGTCCAAAACAAGATGAACACGTTTGACAAAATACACTTGCTGACATCGCTAGGAGCCGACCTCATTGGTGTTCGTGCTGTGAGTTTCTTTATTCCCCTTATCCCTTTTAGCTTCCTCTCCAGCCACAATCTCAGTTCGTATCATCGTGACAATTCTTTGTTGCCTAGTAGCCGGCTGGTTACCTTCCGTAACGATGCTCATCCATTGCTGGTAGCTCAGCTGGCGTACAACTGTTCCATGCACGATATGGTCCTCGATATCCGAATGACCTAGGTTTATCTCAAAGTGAGCCGCGGCCTTAATAGAGGTTGCGAGTCGCAATCCAACCACACAGCGTGCTTCCTAATTTCATCTTTGAATTAATTTCCGCTGTGCCAAGCGTTGCTCGCAGGATCTCAGTAGCATAGTGTTCGTGGTGTCAGCCGTGAACTACTAAGCTCTGAGTTCCCCCCCTCCCACCCCAGTTCAGGCTATCTCCATCTGACAAGTCCATACCAGGACGAAACCGTGGTCATGGTGTGCCAGTGTTGGGAAGAACAACGCCCAAATATTTCCATTCAGGATATGGTCCTCGAGATCGGAATGACCGAGGTTTAACTCAAAGTGAACCGAGGTCATAATAGAGGTTGCGAGTCACAATCCAACCACACTGTGTGCTCCCTAGATTCAGCTTTAAACTGTTGCATTTATTTTCTTTTTACTTTTATTTATTGCGGCACAGTAGCTGAGCTGTTTTAAACCTCTAGCTAACATGTATAATGATGATGATGATGATGCCAAAGCCGCCGCAACTTATTCAGTGCTATTTATTACTCTAAGAAACCAGCTTGGTAATCACTGCCTAGTACTCGCTTACTCACATCATCGCTGCGGAAACGCTGGTGCCACTCGACACTAGCAATGCTCCGCAGACAATGGTGATCGAAGAGTTGAAGACGCCTCAGATCTTCAGACCGAAGGGGTCAAGTCTCACTCCCCTAGGTCCTCAATGTTGCCCTGTAAACACGGTCTTTCAGACGGAGGGAAACTCCCTTCTGTCATCAACAATGCCGCGAGTTCAATAAGACAGTTCTTGCGTTTGCGATGCATGAACGGACTTCAGTTTCTATGTGCCCATCGTTGCTGATGCAGCTGCCAAAGTAAGAGAATCGATTAACCATCTCGTTTTCAAGGATCAAATGGTCATAAACTTACTGGTGGTCCTGCAGCAGCATTTTGCACTTTGAAGGTGCGCAGTGCATACCAAATAATAGGACCACACTGGAGAGGCTATTCAAGGTTGATTGGACTTCCCCAACATCGTCGAAAAGTAAGACAATATCCTCCGCATAATCAAGGTCATCTAACCTTTCAACAGGCACGAATTCGACGTTTGTTGTCGGTCTACATTATGCGTGGCGCTGTTCTAGCACCTACCGCAAAGTGAATATATGTTCTTTACAGCCATCTTTGCGGAAACCAGCCTGTTGTTCTCTAATTCGCGATTCCCCTTCCACAGCGTGGTGACATACGAGAATTGAGGGCAATACTTTTGTCACTACTGGCATTAGGCTAATGCCCCTGCGGTTAGAACAGTCTGTGCGACTGCCCTTCTTGTATATTGCCACAATAATCCATTCACTCCAGTTAGCCGGGACACTCACTTCCTTGCAGATATCTTGAATAGGGAGATCAGTGCTTTGCACAGGACCTCATCTACCTCCTTTAATAGTGCAGGTGGGAGAGAGTCCGCTCCGGCAGCACGATCACGATTGGGAGCTGTGATCAATTTTACGACCTCAGCTTCTGCTGGAGCCTCTAAACTAACCGACCATGGCTCGTCATGCATCACCTCAGTAGGAAGAGATCCGGGAGCAGGAGGCCAGCTAAACTGATCTTGAAAGTGTTCAGCCCAACGAGCCATACGGCGCTCCTTATTGTGTATCATTGCACCCTCGCTGTCTGTGATTGTCTCATTGACGCCTGATTTACTGCGACCAGTGCTTCGGATCAACTGGAAGAGCTTGCGATACTTCCCTACTGCTCCCGCCTACTCCATCTTTTAAGCTCTGCTGGTTCACCAGACTCCCTTGTCATCACGTAGGCTCCACTTTAGTTCATGCTTAATAGTCCGTCTGGTCACATTGTATTTAGAGCCAGTGTAGAGCTTTCTTCTGCATTCCAGCAGGTTCAGCAACCTATCGAATATCCCTTGACTGGTGCGGTGGCGATTGATAGCACCACCAGTAGATGCTCTTGCGTTGTGCATAGCGGCCGGGATCTTATTCCACTGAAACTCAGTGCCATTAGAACAAGGTAGCGAAAATTCGGTATACAGTGCGTCTTGATAAGTTTGCCTGACCGAGGGCTGTGATAATTTTTCGGTTGCTAATCGGGGGAGACGTTTAGTGCGTCTCCCGGCAAAATTCATGTCGAAACGACAGCGTACCATGACATGATCAGCGTCGGTGTAAGTACTCCAAAACGAGCGGTTATGGCTATGGCGACTTATGGCTATTTGATCTACTCGAGTCCATCGCTGACCAAGTGCAGGAGGACGCCAATTGGCACTTCGGCGTCCATTGTGTCTAAAAGCAGTGCTAATACGAAACAACTGGTGCTCCGCACACAGTTGTAGCAGACGCTCGCCGTGGTCAGTCCGTACGGAGTTAAGCCCAAACTTACCACCCAGCTGAGCTTCTGAAGAGCTCAGACGCCCTACTTGTGCTTTCATATCCCCTGCAATTTTTGTGATATATATGCTGCGTAGTAGCGCGTTCAGTTCAGGAAGACGATTAGGGCGCACAACCAAAGCCTTTAACTCAAAGGTGTGTCCGCAAGGCAACGGGAGGTGGCAATGATTTACTTTTCCACCACCCGGTGTAGCTTAATGGATCAATAATGTACGCAAACCCTCGCACGACGTTAACTTCCAGTCTTGTTGCGATGGAATGATGGAGAATCAGCGGCGTCGGAGAAATAAATGACAGTATCACCCCAGTGGATCCACTGTTCCGTAGCGTTCGCATTGTTAGAATCACCAAGGAAACGTTGCAGTCGATTTTTTTACTGAGCAGATTGTTATGGGAATGGGCGAGACAGAAACACGCCGAATGCGCTTGAATACAACCCGAATTGAACAGGAAACTGGGGTGGATAAAAACGACAGAAAAGTTGTGATAAATAGCGAAGGCAAGTTATATATCAGGTGGCTTTTTGGATCTACTTTTCCGTAGTTGATTACTTTGCACCGGGTACTTTCGAGCCAGTGGCACGGTGTGTTGGTGTACTGCTGATGCTTTGTATTTTTTATTGCTGGTTGAACTCGCTTAAGAAAAACCAAGGGAAAATAATTAAATTTTCTATCGAACAGTGTGCGTTATTATGGGGCCGATTGTTCCGAAAACAGGGATCGTCCTTCTGTCATACTCATTGTGCGAATATCGATCGACGCCGAGCAGTCTTCGGTGCGCCGGGACGTATGTCAACTTGTAGTTCACCCACAAAAATGTTATATATTGTAATTCTTTAGCTCTTTTTCATGGACATGGATGCAGTACTGCTCGCGCTGTTCTGATGCACACAAAAGCACCATCAAAGTATTTGACCTGCATCTCGTGTGTATTGGTTATGGTGCGTTACATTGCTTGGCGACATTGTTCGCAACTGACGATGGTGTAACCAGATATAACAAGCACCCGGTGAAGCTCAGGCCATCGGGCAACTGGGCTGCTACCCCATTACAATTGGTTATATCTCACTATCATTATTTAGATCATGCTTTTGATTCGCGTGACAAAATCCACTCCTCATACCCGTTTTATCCATTTGCTTTTCCGATTCGATCGTTTTTTTTTCAACCCATCTGGGCATATTATTACTGACATTGCCATTTCACATCCTAGATGGCATCCAGTGATCGAGAGAAGAAGTTGGACCGATCCTGCACAGTTTCACCGCGAGTGTATCAGTTGGCTCAGCTTCTGTACAGAGAGTTCGAATCACTAAGACGTAGCTACGGTGATGCACCTTATGGAGGACTGTTACCACTTTGTTTAAAAATCCTCGAGGAGATGGACCAGTTGTGCACCGACAAACGGCAATTGGACTTGGATTTGAACCTCCAAATCGCTGAGAAAAACGACTTAGTCTTCCAGTTGCAACGTGCCAATAACTTACTTGATACTGCAACCAAGGTTACTTTCCGTCTCTCTAGCTTATCTTGTCTTTTAGCGCCTGAATTATGTCGAAGACGAATTGCTAACAGCTAAGAAAGATTCCGACGAGAAAATTGACAACCTGGAATCAATGCTTCGACATCACGAAATGTTAGCCAAAAATGCTCAGGGACATGGTGAGGCCATTTTTAGTTATAGACTCTCTCTCTCTCTACCCTTGTCAAGTCGCTCTTCACACTCACCTATAGACATTGATATTATATTTTGACGAAGTATACATATGCTTCGTCCCTGACTGATAACTGATTGCTGTAAGGCGTTCGGTTTGTGATCCACAACCCCCAGCCCGAATCTGCCTAGTTGCAGGCGAGCTCACAGCGTCGCTAATCCACTTGTGAGTGTTGATGCTCACGTGGCGGCGAAGTGTCAGTACGACGTCCCGGCTTACTGTCGCTGCTTCGTTTTTGCGTGCGCATATATGAGGAACCGTTCTTGGTAGAAACGGGGCTCCGTTGCCCATTCTCCTGATGTGGATCGCATCTGCTTTATACGGAGGTATCTGCCTCAAGCAATCATCTGAGTTTGAGTTTTAAGACTAACGTTTGCTGTTGCAGGACCACCACTCGTTTGCTAGCTATTTGGATCTGCTGCGACGACGAACCCTCAACCAATTACATCCAACATTTTCTACTCATAAATACCTCAAAATATTCTCCCTAACAATTTTTACATGCCGTCGCACATGGCTACACTTAGTGAAAGTCGTGTCTTTTGGGGCCAACTCTATTCTATGCAGCATTCATGACTGTGGTAGTGGAGAAGACACCCTGTATGACAGTTGGCTTGTAAGTCATGACGCTCTGGCGCTGTCCCCAGTGTCTCAGTGGCATAAGCTGCTGCTGACCGACTGCTCACGTTTCTGTTGTTCGGATCTTGACGGAACCGATAAATCCGCATTACTAACAAGACCCGACAGCTCGAAACGGCCGTTTGGTGCTTATCCTGGCATGTGAAGGGCTATCAGGGTTGGATGTTGTTGCGACGAACTACCAATTATTTGAAAAGTTGTATTAATCAACTCTCTTATTTTGGCTGCTACTTTTGCAGCGACGGGAAAGGGGCAGCTAAGCTTAGCCGGTTTGTCGCTACTGGATGCACCTTCATCAAATTGGTGCCAGAAGGCAGTTTCCATTCGTTTCATGTGTCGTGCACACGGTGCCCCGGCGATGGTCGTTTTTCTCTATGATGATGAGCCTTGACCCTTTCAGTCTTAGAATGCAGAGCACTTTCAAGTCCTTCAACATCATTGCCTACTGGTCATTGCGGATGTCGAATAGGACCAAGTGGTGCGCATACGAGAGGTGGTCGATTGGGGTCAGACCTGTTCACTGCGTCATCAAATATGACTGCGTAAGCCGCCCGTACTTTGAAGTTGGCCTCAGTTTGAGCTTCTCGGCTTCCTGGTTATCGTCCGAAAGACGATAAGCACAGTGATTCGGAATACCTGTAACTCTGGTTGGTATTTAACGTTTTGCTTCGTCTTCCGAGCTGAGTAATTTAATGGCAAACGTTTCACCACCACTCACTGCCATCTTCAGTGCACTGCTGTGTAGAGAAAAACCTCACGGAAAGTGTCGTCAGGACGTAGCGTTGGAAATTGGCCTCGTCGATCTGTGTCCCATGACCACTGTTTGCTCAATTTTCGGCCGCCCAGTTTCACGCTTTTTCAGGTGTAGGTACACAGAATCGAGGTCAGCACTGAGGTTCACTAAATTCTCCGTTGAGAACCATGCCTCGAGGAATTCTCTTCCTTTTCTTGTCCCTCCTTGCGCCAGAATTTCTGTATTGTCCCAGTTAACGTTTTGTCCTTCTTCATCGAGATGCACTGAGATTTGTGACGATGCATAATGGTATCGGCATGCACGCTTATGCTCTTGTATTTTTGGGGATAGTTTTCCTCCCGTTTGACCCACGTTGACGATGAACACTTTTAGCTGGATACACTTGTTGACATGGCAATGAGCCGACCCCAGTTGTTTTTGTGTGGTGAGTTTCTTTGTCCCTCCCTTTCCAACCACGATCTCATTTCCTAGGCATATCACCATTCCTTTTTGCGCCACAATAGCCATCTGGTACCTCTCCGGAACGATGTCCATCCGTTACTGATGGCTCGGCTGGCGTGCCTCTGTTGCATGTCTCTTTTCTTATGTATTGCGGCATGATGGCTGAGGTGTTTTCCACCTCTAGCTAAAGTACGTAATTCTGAATGGAAATTACTGCATAAGCCACTCGGGTTTGTCCACGACTTACCAAGAGGAGGATTGGTTCACTTCTTAGACCTAAGACACCGTAGATTTCTGACAAGACAATTGTTGCCACGTCATGACGGTGTTCTTAAGAGTACTCAGATGAGATCATGGCGGCTTGGGAAGTTAGCTACAGCAGTGTCACTGGGAGAATTGATTTGGAGTCTGCACAGTTTACGTTGACCGATAACAGCGTTTCCCATGATAAGAGCAGTTTGAGTCACCTCTTGAAGACATTATTGTTGAGCCTGCTAGGTAGGCGAGCTCTTTGCAAGTTTTGCAGAACTATGTAAGAGCCGCAACAATTACCACTCGTTGTCGCATCAGCGAATTGGTTATCCAACCTTACCAAGCCTCGTGTGGTTTTCTAGAGCTTTATTTATTGATACAGCTAGATATAGACGACCAACATTACTGTACGGATTTGAGACTTGGACACTGAGGACCTTAAGTGGCATACCAATTCTGGCTACCGTTACCTGAGCCGCGTTGATTTTATCCATCGAAACGACTGAATGGGTAACATTGCAACTCTCTACTAAGTGTTTGCTAACAAACCCTTTGGCAGTTCATTGGAGTACCTCTGGTGACTTGTTGTGGGTGTGTCTATGTGCACCTATTGATGTTCACGGGCTACTGAGCGTTGCTTGTGTTTGGGTGTTACCCTCCCCACACCATGCGCTCCCCTCAATTTCGAGATAAAAGTTGTTGTCACGTCTTGTCTGCTATGCGCTTCATTCGGATCATACTTTTTTACGATCTGTCGTTGATCCAGCACCCATGGGCATCCGATTATTCTACTACCTCATTTTATTATTTTGTTTAACCCTCACACCAGCATCTAGATTGGAGGAAAGAGACGCGCAAATGCATGCGGAATTGTCTACGCTTCACGAACGGTACAACGACTTACTGAAAGCCTACGTAGATCAGACAGAGCGCATCAAAGTGTCCGATGCAGACACTGGATCTCATCAAGGAAAGCAACTCACTGACACCCAGTCGGAGTACGGTCACAACAAGGTAAAATGGAGCCCTTTGAATTTCGCTTACTGCGTCCGTTTCTGTCCAACCAGTTACAACGCTATTGAGTATTACGATAAGTTAGCAAAGCTAGCTTGTACAAATGTATGTTACCTTCTTTACATGACTATTATTGAGTATCCAGTGTCTTTGTTTCTCATAGCTAATTGTGCTTACTAATTCACGTTCTACCTCCAACAGTGGATTAAATCAAGTGAGGACAGTCAGCGGATTCCTTTCAGTGCAGTTGCTCCGAGTATCGAGGCGTGGTGGATCCAGTTGCTGTGACTCACGTCACCGACGTTAATGACGATTTAAGAGGAGTGGACATGATTCAAATTGTTAGGCGAAACAGTAGGTGGTCAGACACAATGTACGCCATCTCTCAAGGACCCCTTCCAGGAAGAAGGCACTCGCAGACCATACTTACCCATTCCTTCCTTCTTCTCTTTCACTGCCTCCATGCTTGGACACCTCGAGATTTCACCCAACTTGAAGTAGCAAAGCCCAGAGAGGCACACAGACAGTCGAGCCACTTGGGCCGCATCATAGGGTCTGTTAATAAACACCAAATGACCCGTTACAGCATTTATCACTCTGCCCTTTCAGTGATCAGACACGACCAGTCCTCTAGTGTCCCCAGCACGCATTTTCAGGTCTCGGATCCATACAACACTGTTCGCACCGGTGAATTCTAAACTCTCCCCGGACCAATAAGGACACATTCCGCATAAGTTGCGTTGGTTTTGGCACGTACTGCAACTGCCCAAACACCGCTTACGAGGAAGGTCCTGTTTTGTTTGCCAACTATAGGGTGACGCGAGGCTCCAGGTGGTCAAAAGTTAACTTGGTAGCGGAAAATAAAGTCACTGGCTACAAAACTGGGTGCTTTTGGTCTGTCTCGCCTTCCAGGCTTGGGTCCACATAACTTGCCTTGTGCTTATCTCGAGACTCTACAGGAAATGGCTCGCAATCGACACTAGTGGCGTGTCTGCTACCGTCTCGTAGTCGAACTGCCTGTTTAAATTGTGTTTTGTGCTGAGTTATCTGCGGGGCAATGGCTGATTATGACGCGAAGCAATGAATGCCGCAAGCAAGCTGTCTCGCCGATGTCGCCAGTTGTTTGTGACGGTATTGCTGTTGACGAACTGTAGGCGCCTTGACTCTGAATACTTGCTTGGGACATTAAGATTTTACGTTAAGTCATCCTTCTCACCTATTCTTCTTCTTTCTGTTGGTCATTGTGGTTATATGGCATCGACGCATCAGTTCATGTGGCTGATGCTAGAGAGGTTATCTACAGAGATTATCTGTGAGCCAGATGGGTCACAAATCAGCAACTTGCAGAGGCGCATGGACAAATGAGCCAAGTATTTCCAATCTCAGTTCATTTCTTCCACGTCGTCCACTTTCGTACTTAGCTCGCCCCGTAGTACGCCATGGGCCGTGTCACTCGGACCACCCACTGAAGCCGAAGTTCGGCTTGGAATTAGACACTTGAAGCGCTTTAGCCCATTTAGTGTGTCCCGTTATCGGAACAGTGGTCACGTGACAACTATAGAGCATCAATCCGTGGAAAGAATTAATTGTTCATTTGTTCTCCGAGCTTGGCGGTTTTCTCGCAAACGTTTCACCACCATGCGAGGTGGCATCTTCAGTGCAGTGATATGTAGCGTGTAAGTTTACTAAATGAATCCTCCATCCATGATCGACCTGCAGGTGACTTTGAACGTGGCAGTGTCGATTTAGGTCCCGTGACCTCTACCCACTTTCCCTAAGGCTAAAGTCGGCGCCCGAGTTGTTCCGCCTCAAACCGCGTGACAAAAGGTTCTTTATGTCTTTCTGTCATAGTGGCTCGTATACTGAATCGATGTCCATGCGCATGTTGATTGAATGTTTCGTTGAAAACCAAGCTTCCAAGAATTCTCTTTCTTTTCTTGTTTCACCCCGTGCCAGGACTTCTGCTTTGCTCCAATCGAAGCTATGTCCTTCTTCATCTACATGCATTGAAACTAGCGACGATGCATAATGCTTTACACAGGCTCTCTTGTGTTCTTGTATCCTTGTTACCAATTTTCTTCCCGTCTGGCCAACATAATCCCTTTAGCAATCTCGGCAAGGTATTTTGTATACCACATTGCGTTGTTCATGTGCCTGCAGTTTTTCTTTTGGTTTTGAAAGGGTTTTTCTCAACGTGGCAGTTGGTTTGTGTGCTACGATGAGATGATGCTGTTTGAATAGTCTGGCTGCCATTTCCGATATATTCAAGCCCTCTGTTGTTCTGTTCTCAATTGATCTTACCGAATGTTTAGCAGTTACATAAAGTATATGGTGCAACGCCAATGTTCAGTTGAATATCACATCCAGTAGTAGTTACAAGCACATTCGGAAAAAAATGCAGCACTTTATGTACTACGTTACAAAAATGCAATTGTTTTTCCTAGTGACCCATTTTCGAAACGCCTCATAACACAAAACTGGACAAACCAAAAAATTTTCTTTAAATTCTCTTATTTTTGCATTATTCCACCTAACATACATATGTTAGGATGGGCACCTCCTAACGAATCTACCGGTGGAGCTTGTTTTCGACAAGAACCAACTGATTCTGCCAAGATTTCTTCATACAGTCTCGCCTATCAATGAAAAAATGTTCCTGAAGATTCTGATGCTATTATTGTCAAGTAAGGAATGATAAGGAACGAAGAACATTCAAGAAGGTCGCCCAATACCTATAAATGTAACCCACATTACGTTTTGTCGTTCGGCAAATACACGATACCAGGGGTCCGCCATTATTGTTTTGTCAGCCAATCCGGTGTCGTTGTCAAACAGCCAATCAGAATGAAGCCGCGAATACAGCATCAACCCATTAGAATGAAGCCAAGTGATCCATTTTTGGAACGCCTCATAACTCAAAAGCTGAACAAAATAAAAAAAATATTCTTCAAATTCTCTTCTTTTTACATTATTATACCTAACACATGAATTTCATGCCAAAGTTCACGATTTCCAACCTCAGGCATAATTGTCTTAAGGCGGTCTGTTAAGAACTGTTCAAATGTTGTGGTACGACAATTGTCACCAACATCCCTATTTATGACGTTTGGGAGCAGTGAAAGAGCCCACTTCATGGGGAGAGTCAGTTATTGTCCCAGTCTTCAAGAAAAGCTCCCGGACTTCATGTGCTAAGTATAGAGGAATCATAGTCAACTGTCAATCACGCAGGTCCTTGGATGTCACCCATGGCGAAATGGCACTAGCTGCTGTCATCCTGAAGTCATTGGGGCGGAATCCGGCAGGGGTCCGCTGGGAAGGGCATCACTGACGAGACCCAGAAGGTCGAAACGCCGGCGCCTGGTGCTTTTCCAGACTAGCCTATGCCTACTGATTGGGAGTGGCGATGATAAATTAACTGAATAGAGGAATCAGCCTGGTATCAGTTGCTTCTAAGCTGCTGGTATCCATCATGTTGCGCAGGCTGCCGCCAACTCGCGAGGCGTACTATCGGGAGGAGCAGGCTGGTTTCCGCCCCGGTAGAGGTTGCGTGGACAATATTTCCACGCTTTGTCAGCTCCTTTAACATCGCCATATATATATATATATATATATATATATATATTATATATATATATATATACTTGAATGGTGAAAAGTGCATGTCATACTTCGACGCTTCAACCGCCAGGCGGTTAAGTGCAAGTTGCACGGCATAGACTTCTGAAAACAAAGCGATGAGTTCTCGAACCAGCGGATAGCCCTATCTTTATATAAACCAGGAGGTAGACGATTTGGGCCGGGCGCCTTATAACGATGTGGACAGCAGAGTTCTCACCATTGCGCGCCCCAGGGGAAACAGATGGAGCTGGCGGTCAAGAAAACTGCAAGCGAAAATGTTTGGCCTATTGCTCCAACCGTCGTTGAATATTAGTGATTAGGGATCGGAAGTCTTCAGGTGACTGGGATGAGGTGGAACAGTTTTGTGGTATTACTACAGAGGTTAACAAGTTCAAGCTCTAGCATGTTCACACCACCAGGTTTCACGGTCCTTCTGTAAGCTCCTACGCTACGCTCGATCCAGGGATCGGCGTTTTTCACTACAGCTGGTGTCAGCTGGGATCAGGCGGCGTCTGTCCATCGGCGACAAGGAGGCAGTGGTGATCCAGCTTTTCGCCGGGTGACAAGCGAATCCACAACTGACAGTACTGGCAGATATTAAAGCATCTTTGATGCGCATCCATTGCGAATTGAGACCATCGTCAGAGGATGAAGCAAGTAGTGTTGACAGAGAAGCCTGGTACTTGGATAACGTCGCAGGATGTTGCAGATTTTCGACGTTCGGTCGGTAGTGCGTATGTCTGAACGATCTTCCGAAACGCAAGCAAATTTTGGCGCGAACCAGTGCGTGATCGAAACCCAGAGAAGTTGACCAGTATGATCAGCACTCTGTTACGCTTCCGCGCCATATTGTAAAGAGTGATGGAAACTAGTTTGGCGCGTGGTTGAATTAAAATCGTTGCTCTGACGACAACTTTTCTGTCTGCCCTTCAGAAAGACACTCCTGCGCCATTATTGAAGAAGGACAAAAACCTGAAGCGAACAGTTGACTGTGACTTTTCTTTCATCCCTTCCTACGTTACTGATTCTTTCTTAAAGAGCCTACGTGTTGCGTAATAGAACTTACGTCTCAATCCTTGTGGTTCTCCCTTGTCTGCATTCTACAATTGGCGACCCTGCCAGGATCAAGAGATAATGGCAAAGCCAAGTAAACTGTCTGGTGGTGAAATTCAGCCGGTGACCTCCGATCCGGGGGTAAGGATTGCTTCTGCTTTGGAATCCTTGTCGGACGCTATGCAGAAGATGACAACAAATCTGACACCCGCCCCTTCCACACCCCCGTTACCCCCTCCAGAAAAGTTTTCTCCAGGCATGCCATATCTCCGATGGGAGAAACAGGTGCAAATGTATGTCAAGCATTTTCCAGCCCAACAACGGGGTAC